CAGGGTCCTGGGATCGAGCCCCACATCGGGCTCCCTGCTCGGCGGGAAGCCTGCTTCTCCCTCTCCCACTCCCCCTGCTTGTGTTCCCTCTCTGTATCTCTCTGTCAAATAAATAAAATAAAATCTTAAAAAAAAAAAAAAAGAGCCCAGGGGTAAAGACAGCTCTGTGGGGGCGGCCAGGCTGCCCAGTGGGGCAGACCCCATCAGGCTGGGGCTGCCACGAGTGGAGCCCGTGAGGGGCGTTCCTGGGAATTTCTCAGGAGAAGGGGTTTCTTGGGAGGAGATGGGGAGCTGCCCAAGCCCCCTCCCCCAAACCTGCAAACAGCTCACCCACGCCCTAGATAGGGGAGCTCCTATAGAAAGGCCCTGAGACTTGTGGCAGGTCAGAAAAGGAGGCCCATCTTCTCCATCCCACCCTCAAGGGCCCCGGACATCCCCTAAGACTGTGAGTCTTATCATCGCTACCCCCATTTTAGGGACCCAGACCCATGAGTGCAAAGCGTCCTGACTCTGGCCCACTCCCAGAGTCCGATCAGTCTCCTGGGGCCTGCAGCCAGCTCCCTGAGGCTGCTTCATCCTGCTTCCTAACCAGGGCTGGGCATGGGCAGGAGAAAACCAAGGCCTAAAGAAGTCACAGCTTGCCCTGGAGGGCCCTCAGGCCTTTGAGAGGACTTCAGTGAAGCTGAGGGGGCCACAATTCCCCCCCAGATCTCAACAGGGTAGCCCCCCAGAGGGAAAGCAATCGAGTCAAAGGGCAGGATGAGCGAGGTGGCCCAGGCCTCCCAGGGAGGCAAACGTCAGTCAAGGTTGAAGGCCTGGTTGTGGGGGCAGCAAGCAAGGTAACTCTAAAGACCCCAAAAGGGGTGCGTGGCCGGCTCAGTCGGTGGAGCATGCGACTCTTGATCTCGGGGTTGTGAGTTCCAGGCCCACATTCAGTGTAGAGATTATTTAAAAATGAATAAATAATAAAGGACCCTCCCCCCCCTCCCCAAACAGAGAACTGGCCCAGTGCCTCTGGACAGGGGCCTCTCTGGGCCCCTCAGGTTTGGGACAACGGCAGGGGCAGTGGGGATAGGGGAGCAGCTGTCCTCAGAGACTGGAAGCCCAAGCAACAGAGAAGGGAAGGTGAGGGCCCGAAGCTGTTTGTTCACCTGTAAAATGGCACAGCCGTGGAGAAGGGTTTACAAGTGGGGAGCCTAGAACCGTAAGGCTGGGTACGGCCGGGCGCTTGGAGAGGCAGAGATCTTTCCCAGGCCACCAAGCTCCAGGTTCCGGTTCTGCCCTCAGGCCCTGAGAGCTTGGGGTTGGGTGGGGTGGGGTGGGGTGGTGTGTGTGTGTGTGTGTTGTGTGTGTGTCCCAGATGCAAACTCAGGGAACCTGTCGGATACCAGGCAGAACTGTCTGTCTGCGGATGCCTGAGCAGATGACCTGAACAGATGACCATGGGCTCAGACTAGCTCAGGCACCAAGGACTTGTGCCCTCTCTGCTCTGCTGTGGGTGCCCAGGGCTCAGTTGCCAGGTGACAAGATGCCTAGGGCAGTTGAAGCCTGAATCACCGCGGGAGTCAGCCCCAACCCCCGCCCCCAATTTGCCCAGACTAAAAATAGGACAAGAGGGCTCTGGGGACTGGGTTGGTGGAAGGCTAGCGGGGGGGGGGGGGGGTGACCCACCAAGGCCCCGCAGCCACTTTTAGTTTCCTCAGCGCTGATCAATACTGCCAGCCATCTCCGGCGGGACCAAGAATCTACTTGCAAACTGTAAAGCACTTTAAATTACCTACTACCTAAACTGGACTCAGCCCAACCCCTGGCGGGGTCGCGCAGGCCCCAAACCGAAGCCTTCCAACTCGGGGCGCAGGTGGTTAAAAATAACCCGACTCAGCGTCCTGAGGTGCCTCCCGTCCTTCCCCTCCTCCGCCACACCTGCTGCCCGCGGCCGGGGCTGAGCGGGCCGCGCAGCAACCCCTGGTGGGCCTGTGAAGGCCCGGTTCACGGGGAGGGCACCCAGGCCCCGAGAAACGCAGTGATGTGCCCAAGACGTGAAGCGGCAGGCTAGACACTCGAACTCCAGCCTGGGGCCCAAAGTCCTTCCCTCCTTCCCGGGCCTTGACCGCGGGCCCCGGCGGAGACCACGCCCCCGACCTGCGTCCGACGCACGCTCCACGCCCGGGCCTGGGTGACCAGGGCCGCCCAGCCCCTCTCCGGCTGTACGTGCGTCGCGGCTTCAGCACAGCGACCGGAGGACACAGCGGGTGTGCTTGGGCCCCCGAGCCCAGACCCGTCTGGGAATGGAACTCGGAGGACCCGGGAACCGAACACCGAGGCCCCGGTGGTGGCCGCTGACCTCCGACGCACGCAGAAACGCTCCAATCGGAGCGCCCGAGGCCCCTCCCACGTTCCAAAATACTGAGCGGCTTGGGCAATGATGAGCAGGCCACGCCCCCTCGTCGACAACCCAGTCCTTCGGGGGCGGGACTCTCGGACGCACTCCAGATTTAAAGGCGCAGGGCTGCATTCCGAAGGTGTGGGGGCGGTGACCGGGTTCAGAAGCGGGTCCCTAGGGCCCGTTGTGAAGGCGTGTGTGCTTGCGTGTGAGGCAGCGGTGTAGAGAAAGCTGTCTGGGCTTACGTTGTTTCCGGGACCTGGCAAGCAGGTGGTACCTGGCCCAAAGGCCCGCTTGCCTGACCCTTTAGGTCACCCTGAGTGTGCCGTGGGGGCTTCGTTATTTTATCTGTTGGCCCGCGGGGCACACAGCGTGACTCAGGAGGCCACCCCTGCCACCTGCTCCGTGTGACCGTGTGCGGGCCACTGCACCATTCTGGCCTCAGTTTTCTCTGCTATGAAATGGGTATCACAAGGGCCCCTCCTCCCTTACGAAGGATGATTGTGCATATAACCTGTGGCTCACTCGGCATTTATTTATTGGGGACCTACTATGTGCCGGCTGGTGGGGGAGCAAGGAAATAAAGAGAGACAAGGGTGGATGTTGACTTTAAGCGGGAATAATAACGTGCCACTTACTGAGCGCCTGCTGTATGCTGCGACTTACACCTGCGTTTGTTTCTGGCGACAACCTTAGGAAGCATTGCACAAATGAGGAAACTGAGGCCAGGAGCAGACCTGGGGTTTGCCCAGAGCCCCAGGACCCAAGGACCCAGGCATCCTGCTACCATTCATTGGTCGCCATGCAGGGCCCAGTGAGGGGATAGAGACTCCCGGGTCCGTGCGCCCCCAGGCCTGGGTCCATAATCTCTCCAGAGGTCACGGCCAGCCGCTGCCGCAGCCCAGGGGACAGTGCTTGGACCTGCAGGGTCTGTGATACGCGCCCCCCATAGGTCGCTGGAACTTAGCCTACGAAGGCTTCGGAAGCACAGAGGGAGCCCGGACTTTTCGAGGCCCCTCTGGTCAGCGAACAGACGGGGAAACTGAGGCCCAGGGAGTCCCAAAGCGCCCGGCGGGCCCCGCGCTTCCCGGCGGCGCGCGGGTGGGCGGGCTG